ACGGTGACATGATAAACAGTCTGGAGAATATCATTCTAACCAGTCTGACCAGTACTTACAGGTCAGACTAGGAAAGGAAAGGTTAGAGGCAGACAACTAGTTGAAGATCAATAATTAACGGATGTGGGTTAGGGCACAATTCTTATGACTGAGAATGGTTTACAACAGCCATTACATAAAAATATTCCAACACGCAAGGACTCATTTGGTACTACCTTGAGCTATTTACTTATTTATTTTTGGTCTTTTTGAGACAGGGTCTTGCTATGCAGTTCAGGCTGGCCTTGAGCTCACTCTATAGCCCAGGCTCTTGAACTTACAGTGATCCTCCTGCCTCAGCCTCCCAAGTGCTGGGATTACAGGTGTGCACCACCACTGGCCTTACCCTGAGCTATTAATTAGCCGACACAAACAGCTTTCCCACTCACAAAGATGTGAGAAATAAAAATAGTATTTACCTTATTACATTGTCTGATGTTAACAGCACTATATGAGGATCTAGCATTTCACTTGGATACCATGCAGCATGCTTTAGAGTCAGAGACGTAGAACTGGTGAAAAATCTCTCAGCAATTGGAGTGGTACTAAAATAAAGATAACAATTTTCCAAAACATTATGTAGAATTTAAATGAGAAATCTTCTAAAGGAAAATCTATTTTAGTATTCAATGTTTGTCTTTCCTTCAAGTTTCTAAATTTCTCTCAATCTTGCTGAAAGAGCATTCCAATTATCTATTTAATAATATCAAAGAGTCAGAATGAAAGTATTGTCTAAATTGTAACATTTTATTTCAATTTGGTAGAAATAACGTTTTAAAAGCAGTTATTTAAAAAAAGCAGTTATTGTCCAAGAGCCAGATGTTTGCTTAGAGGTTTATTGAGGGAGTTGTTGTTGGTTTTTTTTGTTTGTTGTGTTTTATGTTTGAGACAGAGTTTCACTCTGCAGTTCAGGCTAGCCTTAAATTCACTTTGTAACCCAGACTGGCCTCAAACTCACAGCAATCCTCCTGCCTCAGCCTTCTGAGTGCTGGGATTATAGGTATGCACGAAAGGTTTTGTTTTTATGTAATTTCTTTTTTAACAAATTCAGAAAAGTGAGGATCTGAAAAATCTAAAAAGAATATAAAATAAAAACACCTTTAGCTCTACAATAAAGGAGAGAGCCCACTTGAACTGTTTAATATTTTGCAGATCTCTAAGCAAACCTCTAAGCAAACATCTGGCTCTTGGACAATAACTGCTTTTTAACAACTGCTTTTAAAACATGTTATTTCTACCATATTGAAAGAACAGCCTAACTTGAATGAGACAGCAATGTAATAATTCAAGAACAATAAAAATATAATCACACATACACTATAAGCATTACTACCACAGGAAACTAGGCTATACCATGAGGAGGGCTCTAATGTTTTAACAGTAGTGTATTTACTAAGTACACTTTAAGAAACCATCTTGAAAAAATTTTCTGTATGTACTGCAAATTATACAGATAAACATGAAATGGAAATACAACTTACCTACAATTCACTGTTACTTTTCCACCTTCAAATTCAGAATTCTTCCCCCACCTTTTAGGTAGTTCTAGTACCGTAAGTCCTTTAGTTCCTATCAGTGCTACATGATGTTGTGTTGGACTTAACAAAACTTGATAAATTTCAAACAGAGGTGGGTTTATGCAAAGCAGTCTCTAAAAAGTGAAGCAAATTGATCACAACAATTAATTGTAATATAAATCCTTGTGGCAATTACTGAAACCACAGTAAAGCTGTAGCTTTCTCTAATTATAGAATCACAAAGCATATGGATAAATATCAACATGTGGATCATGAATTGGTGAAACATTTTCAACCATTTTGGATTGAAATGTTATATAAAATCCATCAGATTTTCCTACTTTGATTAAAGATTACTATACCTAATTTCATTTCCTGCCTACCACTCCCATCTGCCATTCTCCACTCACACTTTATACTAATCAGATTAACTTGCCTTTCTGGGAAATCATCACCGTTTGCTATGCTTCTATATCCTTGCAAAACTATTGTTCTTCCTGAGATGCCCTTGGTATTATTATTTTTTCTTTTTTAGCTGGCTAACAAGATCTCAAGTTTTGGAGAGTCAACTTCTATGAACTTCCCTTCCCTAAATATCCCTCATCTTATGACCAGGTATAAATGTGCCTTTTTCAAGTTCTACAGCACATCCTGGACAATTCCATCATAGCTGTTATCCTGCATTTTGTCATTTTACTTGTCCACCCCACAGAACTCACTATAAAATATTTGATAGCACCTCATATTATTACCAACCCCCAACAGACGCTTAGTGAACAGACAAGTGAACTCCAAATATTAATAAATGGTCAGTTTTATAAATAATATAATAAACAATGGCTTCAAGAGCTTTCCCTGTGAGCAGAATGCTGCTTTATCTATGCAGATATAACATAAGCTGTCTCAGCATTATGTCCTCAAAAAAATTGAGTTTCTGTTTTCATACTTCCTATTTCTTTGCCTGTGACCATCTCAGATCCTTTTTCTCTACTTCCAATAATAAATGCAGTGTTTCCCCTACATATTGAGAATCCTGAGCCAAAATCCTTTAAGTCACTGTCCTGAAGATGACTAACTGCTACTGACGTCCATTATCTTGGGCCTTTTAGTTGCTTTTGTTGATTCTAATCAGTTTTTTCTCTTGTGATTCTTTCTTTCTGTTTCTTATACTCAACTTCCCATCTTCTTTCCACTTCATTTTGACAGTCTAACTTAAACCAAATAGAGGATTCGTCTGAACCTTTGCTTCTCTTACATATATAATCACACTAGTTCATTTTTAATAATCACAGTATTAAGATTTTTGTTGTTGAAAGTCACTATCATGCTTTTTAACATTCAGGATTGTAACTCATTATAGCTGTTTTTTTTCAGTCTGAACCTCTGACATTCTGTAGGATTGAAGGTTACGACAATGGTAACTAATATTTACTGAGAGCTTATATATTCCAGGCCCACTGTCAAGTGCTGGACATACAAAAGTGGGTAAGACCACTGACTTAATACCTATGGTCTAGCTAAATAAGTTACACAATAAATAAATGACTTAAAATTATTAAAGTATTACTGCCAAAGGCTGCACAGCAATGTAGAATGCTGTTAAAATACTGTGTGCTAGGAGCGGGCATGACAGGGCACACCTGTAGTGTCAAGTACTAAGGAGGCTGAGGCAGGAGGATCGCTTGAGCCTTTGAGGCCACCTTCGGAACACAGCTTTAAAAAACATAAAGGAGGGCTGGGGATACAGCTCAGCGGCATAAGCGCCTGCCTGGCAAGCATAAGGTCCTCAGTTCGATTCCTGGTATCACAAAAAACCAAACCAAAACAAAAAACAGAAAAGAAATACTGTCGGCTGAACACTTGACAATTATCTTTAGCTGAAAATTTTCAGTAAGTAGACAGTATACTCTTTTGGTACATTAGCATTTCGTTAAAACCAAATCACTTCTCTATAAGAATTAGTCTGTGGCACACAACAGATGTCATACATTCAAATGGTTGCCATTATTTTTAATCTTTAAAAGATAACTTATTACAGATAAATATTTCCATAAGGCAGTGTTTGATTTTGGCAAGTCTAGAACACTTTCTAATCACACTTTCACGCGCCCTTGGCTTATGAAAAACAATTCTGGCGATGGCCAAATTTTCTGAAAGGGGGCAAAACCAACAGAAGCTTCCTCCTTCAAGTCAGTTTCGAAACTCGGCGCCCGCAAATCGGCCTTCGGACTTCACGCTCACAACACCCCGAGAGAAAGTTATGGTTATACTGAGTTACGTCAAAACACCGATTTCTGCTGACAACTCGCTACAAATAGCCTCTCCACCAACAAGCTCTCCACCCTCTCACCCGCGGAGTTCTTCGGGGCGCTTGACTAACCACGGGTATTTACTGGGCATCCGCGCGGCCCCCAGTCCTCCCGGGCCCCAGGAACACAACACCTACACCGCACGAGCTCTCCTCTGGAAGCAGCAGCGTCAGAATTAACGCAGGAAGGAGACGAGGAAAGACGGACCTCTCCCCTCGAGGCGGGACGTCCCCGAAGGGGCGTCTACTCGCGCCGGAATAGCGAGCGCAGCGGGAGACGGAAAACAGCCTGGAGAGCAAAACCGCGAGTCACCTCCGAGATGCCCCGGCCGTACCTGGTACTGGGCGAGGGAGGGCTCCTCGCCGCCACCGCTGAGGCCCCGAAGGCGAACCACCAGAAAGCAGCTGCCTTCTCCGTCCCACAGGAAGAGCTCCCCGCCGAGGCCGAACACCAGGTTTCTCGTCAGCAGCGGCGGCGGCGGCGGCGGCGGCGACGAGGGCAACGACGAAGAAGCTGGTTTCTCAGCTTCTGCAGGGCGCTGGTGTTTCATTCCCTCCCGGAGCCGCGAGAACACGATGTGGTTAGGAAGCCAGGTCTGCCACAGATCACCGTCGTTTATAGTTCCTTCTGCAGCCGCCATCTTTGTCAACTGCTCTCCTCATTCCAGTTGCTCAGCCCGCCGCTGAACGCAGCCAACCCGCGGCCAGCCGTCTACCGCTTCGGCCAATCATTGAGCAGGCAGCCCGGAAGCGCGAGGCTAGCGGCAAAGGCGGAGCGAAAAGAAATCAGCCCATCGGGTACAGGCATTGCCACAGGAAAACCAATCGGCAGCCCAGTTTAGGCCAAAGGGGGCGGGACTAAGGGGTCAGCGCGCGTTTAAAGACAGCGTTGCTTTCTGCCGGAAGTCTAGTACTGCACCTGGGTGGAGAGACTGAGACCCGAGTATCTAATAGCCTATCGGACACTTTTCACTGGATAAAAACAACCATCCAGGACATTCTCTCAAGACTTACTTCCCTTTACCCAGGTTCAGTTAACTTCACAGATGCCACTACTTCAGCCACTCATCCGTGAATTCCACAAATCTGGCTCTGGGTGGGGCTGGACAGGGAAACAGCTTCCCAGAATTTCCTGCAATCTAAGTGAGACCAGAGCCCCAAACTACAACTCCCAGAGTTCTGTGCGCGCTCCAGGGGGTGGGGCTTCGATGGGGATTCCCGAAGAGCGATGGCCGAGCCGGCTGGGTCTCACCGCCGATCACTGTACAAACAAGTGGGCTCCCCACCCTGGAAAGAGGCTTTCCGGCAGGTGAGTGTGAGGTTTGGAACATCGGTCACTCTCCTGATTTGTCCTGAGGACTATTGTCCTCCACGTCTTCGCCTCAGCACAGCGCTGTGAAGCAGGTGTCGGAAGCCCCTGGCCACTGGACGGTCACCTGAACTTCTTGGCCGCGGGGTGCGGGGTTACCTTGGGTGGGCGCAGTCCCAAGTGGCTAGCTTTTTTGGAGTCGGATTTGTTTCACATTTGAAGGGTGGCCGTGACAGTACCCTCTGCACCCGTACAATATCACCACCACCTACTGTTGTTAGGCACGGAAAGAGACATTTTGTGTAAGTATGACATGTGAGATCAAAGCTACTCACCTGTCTAGAGGGGAGTCAGAATGGGTTCTGTGACTGTCAGCGGAGCTGTACCTGCCCTCACTTCTGGTCTCTTCTGAACTCTAGAAATATTGCCTCTCACCCCAGAAATCGCTGAAGTGGTGGATACATCCCAGGAAAATAACCTGCTGCTATATTGTGTATAGCAAAGTTTCTGAACCGTAGATATTGACATAAATACATTTATTTACTTATTTTTAATTTTTTTGAGTTGTCTTAGTATATCATTCAGGCAGGTCTCAGATTTACTATGTAGCTAACCCAGGCTGGCCTCGAACTTATGGCAATCCTCCTGCCTCAGCTTCCTGAGTGGTGGGATCACAGGCATGTGGCACCACACCCAGCTTGGTTTTGACACTTAAGAGAAGGATGATTCTTTGTTGTGGAGGGTTGTTCTGTACACGGTAAGATATTTAGGTGCAGAATTACTGGCCTTTACCCACTAGATGCCGCACTCCTACAGCTAGAGTTGTGATAACAAAAAATGACCTCAGACATTGCTGGACGCCCACTGGGAGACAAAATCACTCAGAGGTGAGGAGCAGTGTTGTACAGGAAGGCCATTACCACAGCCATATGTACAACAGCAAGAATTTTGAAACAATATAAATGTCTTCTAATGGCCAGTGGATGCTGAGATAAGAATACATCTAACCACTGAGGAAGCCGACATAGAAAATAAAATATGAAATGTAATGAGCTGGAAATAAATGAGCACAGCATTGTAATTTTAGCTGCCTGCCATATGTGTGGATAAGCGCTTGAGAGGAATATGGACAAATAACAGTAGTTAGGCTTGTAGTTGAAATTTTGTGTCTAAGTTGCCTTTAATGTGTACCAGCTAATTTTTTTTTTAAATGCCTGCCCCCCTTTTCCCAAGGGATGTCTGGCAAGAATGAGAAACAGCCGGGACAGGTTCCTGAACAAGTACCGCCAGGCTGGAGGCAATGTACCAGGGAGAGCTCTCAGCAACCTGCTAGTGCAAGAGGTGATGGAGGAAGAGTGGAAATCTTTCCAATCAATGCAGAAGTATCCGGAGGACTTGGCTCAGGTCAGGCTGAGATATGTGTTTTCAGAGTTGGGGGTACACGATGAAAAACTAGGGTTCTCTCTGTACCTGTCTACATATATGTCTAAATTCACCTACCTCCCAGCTCCCAGGCAGAATTCTAACAGCCTTTGACCCAGGCTCGTCTGCCATTCACATTACACACTTTATATTGATGGTTCCTCAATACCAGACCATAGACCTGTTGCATCCTTGTAGCATGATCAGTTATGAAATTTTTAAAAAAGAAATTTATTTCTTTCCTTCACTCTTAAGAAATTTTGATTCAATAAGCATGGGCTAGGAATTTTTCTTTAAAAATAATTGTCCAGGAACATTTTGATTCTAGTTTCAACCAGATTTATGAGCTGAGGATGGATGGGGAACCACTTATAGCGTGTCAGAAAGAACACTGGATTGGAGGTCAGGAGTTCTAGAATTCTAATTCTGGTTTTGCTACTGATTCTTCACTGCCTCTGAACTTTATTTAGCTGTCTTGGTTACTTTTTTCTCATTGCTGGGACAAAATACCTGACGCCCAAAATGAAGGAAGGAAAGGTTTATTTCGCTTACAGTTTGTGGAGGTTTCAGTCCGTACTTGGCAGATTACAAGGCAGAGTGGCGCATGGCAGAGAGCTACAGCTCATGTCCGCAGAACATAGCAAAAGCAACAAGCACACACCAGGGCGGAATGGGGGAGGAATGGCCTCAAGCACCCTTTTCCTCTCCCTTACATATGCAAACTACCCACCCCAGGGCGGGTGCAGCTTTCACACCCCTAATCAATCAAACTTTAAAACCCTGCCCCATAGCCGCATGAGGCTTTGGGGGGATACCCAGACATAAACCATAACATTAGCTTTCACATTTATAAAATGGAGAAGATAATGTCAGCATTTTGAGGACTAGGTAACAGTACATGGGTGTGTGCTTTGAAATCATCAAGGCACTGTGTAAGAAAGATGCATTAGTGGCACCTGTGTGTCCCAGTATACTAAATGTTTACCTTCCTTCAGCCACAATTGGAACTCACGATGTCCTTCTCAGGTAGGTTTCATTCCCACAGCACAGAGGCCAAAACAGGTTTGCAAAGACAAGGAACTTTCGTGTGGTCCCATAGCCTTGGAAGAGCATATACCTACCTTCCGTCTTCTACTGGTCTCTCCCAAATTTGGCAGTGTTATTTTGTCACTGGGTGGTTTGATCATTTGTTGATGCCTTCTCAGCATAACCACATTACTTCGTTGTCAGCATGTTCTGCAGAAATGGAGCAGTTTTATCAGATAGGCGCAGATTCTTCATGCCACCTTTCAGGTATGAGTCATGGGGCTTGGTGGCAGATTAATACCTCAGACTTCAGATGACGCTACTTTCTCTTGCAGTTGGGGTTGTCGATGGACTTGGCTGTGCTGGAGGAAATCCAACAGGAGCTAATTGATGAAGGTAATCCTGGGGAGTGGTTCTTCCTACCTATATTTAGCTCCTCTAATGCCGACCCTTCCTTGAATCATGGTTAGTTCTTAATTCCCGCTCTTCTACTTCCATTTTCAGGCATGTATACAGAAGGGTCATAGTTTACTCTGAATTTTTGGCTGTCCTACCAAAGATAGGAGTCTCTAAGGTGCTAGACTTTGTGCTAAAATCTTATTTCATAATTCTGTTTTCTCTTTGTGACTAACCTACAAGACAGTACTAGACAGAAATCTGTGCGGCACTCTCACACAGATCACACAGCTAGTCAGTGGTGGGTCTGGGGAGCAAAACTGAGTTTGTGAACCCTTTTCCCATGTTTATTCTCCTTGCAGCTATTTTAATAGGTGAAGCTGGGCACAATGGTTTGTACCTGTAGTCCCAGCAAGTCAGGAGGCAAAAGTGGGAGGACTGCATGACCCAGGAGTTTGAGGTCAACGTGGGGAACATAGCAAGACCTGTATCTTAAAAAGTAGTAGTAGCAATAGTAGTAGAAGTAAATGCTCTGTTAAGTGCCAGCTTTCTCCAGTGCTTTTGAACTTTGACATTTCCATATTTCTGTTGCTGTGGCCTCTGAAGATGTGTAAAAGTTATTTCCTTGTCCCTTAACCGACTTCACCTCTTTTGCTTATAAGGGAGCAGCATATACGCAGGGGAGGGATCTAACAAGATGAAGCTAGCCTGAGAAAGCAGTAAATACCAGTGACGGGCAGTGTGGTTTTGCCCAAGCCTTCCCCTTGTGCCTTTGAACGGGAGGTGTGGCATTAAGTACAGGGCAACTCTGGGGAAGCTGGTAAGGCACTGCCACCGCCTTTTGCCTTGCAGAACAGTCCATAATCAGCGAGTATGAGAAGAGCTTGCAGTTTGATGAGAAGTGTCTCAGCATCATGCTCACCGAATGGGAAGCAAACTCCCTCATCTGCCCTGTGTGTACAAAGTAAGACTTTTCAAAACTTTTCCAGCATAATTGGTTCCATTCCCCCACTCCAAGGTGAGTGGACACCCCAGCCCCCAATTTGTTGCCTGAAAAGGTCTGGGGAGCCATGATGACCTAGGGTCCTAATTCTGCTTCTAGGTACAACTTGAGAATAATAGGAGGTGTGGTGGTATGTCAGTGTGGCCTGTACATCCCATCTCATGTAAGTTCCACGCGGAGACTTTGTGCTACGTCTTCCCGCACACGTGCTTATCTAAAGAACTCCCGGTGGTGGGCTGGAGCAAGCTATGCACATCTTTCCCAATTCTTTTTTTTTTTTTTGGAACTGGGAATCGAACTCAGCACCTCACGTTTGCCAGGCAGGCGCCACACCGCTGAGCTGTATTTCCAGCCCGCTTTCCCAATTCTGTGTTCAATGATGTTACATCGATAGCTTCCCATCAGCTGTGGTGGGAATAAAAGCATGGAAATTGGCAAACACAAATCAGGGCTTTCCCCCGCTTGCGAGCCACCACTGCTTCAGCTCTTTAGAGATCCCAGTTTAGGATCAGAAACACTTGTATCCAATCTCCCATAAAAAAATTTCTGTCTATCAAGGCACATCAATATTTCAGAATGTGGGCATCAATGACCTTAAGATGCAGAAGTCCTCTTTTCTGACATGAGGGGAACTGCAGGTTTGCCAGTTAGCAGTCCTGCAATGTACAGCCCAGAGCTGTGAGGAGATGAACTATGTGCTTTAGTGGACGTTCGTATAAAGTCGATCAAGAAGTCAAATGTACAACTTTAGAATTTTTCTCCCCACCTTTTACCTAATTCTGTAGCTTTTTTTAAAAAAGCAACTCATCTTTTTGAATGTTTCCTAAATTTTTGGCCTAATGTACAAATGGAACTGTAATTCCCCTATACAGTATCTATAGTTTACATACGTAGTAATGACATCACAGTTACAGTCATAAGTTCACTTAGCATAGAGAGATCGGGAGCAGACACTGCTGGTTCTTGGTTAAGGATCCCTGGTTGGTGGGTGCAGACGTTGAGGAGGGTTAGAAGGAAGCCGTTGCCTCTGAACGTTCTTCCTGTCGGGAGCAGCAGCCATGTTCTGTAGCGGGAAGGGAGTGCGCCGATGAACCTGGAGGTGTGGTTAAAGGGAGACTGGTGAAGAGATCTCAGCGCTCGTGGGCCCGAGTGTTTCTAAAGCTCCACAGCATCAAGCCATCACAGCGAACCAGTCGTACTGGTTGGCCGTGAGGCATCGGGATTTTCAGCCTGTTGACTGTCAAGTAACGAAGATTATTTGCAGTTGAATTTTTTATTTTCAGTCTCCAGAGCTGACAGAACAGAAGCTTCGTGCCTGTTTCGAGGCTGGCTTAAACGACCACAGCGCACAGTGTCCCCATACGCCTGCGTTCTCAGTCACCGATGGAACAGGAGAAAAGCCCAGTCTTCTCATGACCTGTCTGGTAAGCGTCCGTCTGTCGGGGTAGGACTAGGCTGAGCGGCTGGTTTCATTCCTACCGCGGTGGAAATGATGGCTTAGAAACAGGTACCTGTTTAATGCAGTGTGTATTTTGAGGAATGTATAGAAAAGTAAAGGTCCTAAGTCACTTCAACTAAGTCATTCCTGGAAAGAGAAATGGATGAGGTGGCCTAGGGTCAGGGTTACCATCTAGTCCTGAGTGACAACTCAGGTGTGACAGGGCTGCCCAAGTGTGTATGGCAGCCACCTGTCTTAGGAGTTTCAGCTTGCTATAGGAACCGTTGTTTTATAATGATCAGTATATTGTAACCAATATGAAATGTTACAGCTTCCAAATCTTGGGTAACGGGAACTTTGGTATTACTGAATGCTATAGCATGTCAGGTATCAGTAAAATTTGACCTCTCACATAGAATTGGCCAGTCTTTCATGGGTAAGAGTGTCACAGCAAATGGGAATTGAGAAAAAAAAGACAAAATTATTCAGGAGCCTGTGAGTTCAACATTTTGAGGAGACATTTGGAATGTTCCAGAATTCCCGTGTGCCACTAGGTCTTTTTCACTTGAGGAAATGAAGAACCACTGGGTAAGAGTTAAGTCAGGCCAGTTTATCACAGATGTGGAGGATGGGGTGAAGGGCAGGTGTGGTTATAGAAGGTGGTAGTAGTATGTAACAGGGACTAGGAATCCTTGAGAGGTGACAGCGGTCTGAACCCAATCACCAGGATGGAAAGTGCTCAGCTACCTGTGTGGAGGGTCCTAGTGTCTTCCAAAGAAAGCCACATATATTACCTATGGAAACAGGGTCAAGGTTAGGACAGAAAAGATTCCTAAGCACAGTGGTAGCTGAGCAAGGAAGCAGGTGCCAGTTATGCTCAGATGCTATTAATCATACTGTTGATCAAGAAGGGTCTTAGGAATGAATGGGCCTCCAGGTTTTGTTTGATACCAGGAATTGAACTCAGGACCATGTGCTTGCCAGGCAGGTGCTTGTGCTGCTGAGCTACATCCCCAGCCCCGGGCCTCCAGGTTTGGCCTGTAGTGAACATCCACAGGTTTCACCTGCCCATGCATTTCAGTCTTACGTTACCTGTTCTGGGGCTGTAAAAGCTCCAAGCAGTCAGGTTTTAATTTTTCTGGTCACTCGTTCCCAAGGCTGAGGAGGTCCAATAGCTCACCCCAGGACCTGATCTTAGCTTAAAGCCAACACTGCTGTTGATGGCATCAGGGAAAAGGTAGGTGGTTTCTGTGAGGTGTCTCCCCAGCCCTTCTGTGACAGGGTCTCACTGCTCATGCTGGGTTGAACTTGCAGTGCTTCTGCCTCAGCATCGGAGTGCTAGGATTGCAGGTGTGCACACCTGCCACCCAAAGGCAGCTGTGTGAAGGTGCAGGACAGAAGACGGCAAGGGCAAGAGTGGGGCTGTTTCTACCGAATCCCTAACTGTAACTGAGCTTGGGTGGCACCACGCAACGTGTAGGAATTCTAATTGTCGTATAGATGTCATTCTTGAGGACAACTTTTAGACATGTAAGTTTCTTGACTACAGTTCAATGTGTGCTAACTTACTGTTTCAATATAGGCTTGTGACACTTGGGCTGTGATCCTGTAGCCTGAACTCATCACTCTGCTGAGTTGAAAACAACTCACTCTCTCTGAGAAGAGGCCTTGTACATACAGACCTTTCACTCATAACTTATTTTGTATTAAAACTTTTCACACACCTCTACTCTTGGTGTTTTGATGCAAACTGAAGAAATAGAAAAGACAAACTACTTCGGAGGAGATGAAACAATTGTAATGTCCATTATTATGTTATACAAAAAAAAAAAACCCTAGAAATAAAATCCTTGAGCGCAACAGCAATAATTTAAACTTGCTATTTTTTCCCCATGATGTTAGGATGATAACCACTGCAAAGTACAGGTGTCTGGGGTCAGGGTGGGTTTTATTCTCTGACCGAAGTCTGCCATAAAATTAAGGCCTTGAGTGTCTCTAATTCTATTGGCTCTTGATAAAGCTTTTGAGGTCTTCGAGAAAAGTAATGTACTCTTGATGCTCCAGGGCTGTGCTGAGCTCCACCAGCTCATCTGCAAAGGTGTTGTCCACTCCGCGGTCAGCGAGGAAATCCATTAGGTGGTCATACAAGGCCTACGAAGAACATTCAGTTACTACTTTAAAAAAAAAAAAAAAGGCAATCCCTAACACTTATTAATCAAAACGTTTTTTCCTCTCCTTAAACTAAGAGTCTCCCCTGCCATCTCGCCCAGCACTCACCCAGTCCAAGGAATCTGTGTTCAGTGTGTAATTAGTGTCCTTCCAATCAGACTCGCCTGTGGCCTGAAAGCTAACTTCCTTGATGGAGAAAATGTCACTCTCAGCCTCCTCCTCTTCTCCCACCTGAGAAGAAACAGTATTGAGGGAAACTAAAGGGATTTTCAGGACAGGCCAGACTCCTGCAAAGAAAGGCTTTGCAACCTGAAACCCCCAGGCTGTAAGCTTGTTCCCTCTGCACCCCCGCCTGTCTCCCCTGCTTTGCAGGGCTAGCGTCTGTAAGTATTTGCTCCAAGCGACCAGGAAGGTCCTAGGAAACACTCTTGGTCCTGGGGATGCCAAGGGGCTGGCACTCTCCTACGTACCTCATCCTCTGAATAGTGACAGTCCAGCACAAGGGCCTTCTTGCCATCACTCTTGGTAACTTCCACCACAAAATTGGGAGTTGATGTCAGTTCAGGCTGGGGAAACAAGAAGTCATCATATGCCCCTGTTCAGGCGGGTCAGAGGGTGGGATGGCCACTATTTGGATGTTACAGTACTTAGCCGTTGTACAGTCTTATGCTACAGCGTTCCCAATAAGAATCTTTTAACAGCGTTCGACAGTGTCTCCCTTCTGTTTGCACCCTCTTTCTTTTTTTAAAGCATATACTGAGTTTAGAATTAAGTCTGAATTCCAGCTCCAGCTTTACAGAGTGAGCTGAGATCTAGATCGGTCCTTTTTACGGGGCCTGCTTCTCCATCTGTACAAGGCAGAGGCGGCCTACACTTCTGAGACCTCTTTCCAGCTTGGCAGTTTTGGGACTTGTCCTTTACCACAGACTAGCATCAAAGCCTGGCATACTTGGCTGAGGCCCAGTGGCCATCCTAACAGTAGCAGCTGTCCCTCTGATGGTGGCCCTGGGAGTACACTGATCCCAAAGTCCGGGAAATGCCAGCAGGGGTGGCCAAGACAAGCACACAGACAGCTCTGTTCTTCAGGTTAGTTAACGGGAAAATACGGCTGCTCAGATGGCCGAGGACCCTGTGGCCCTCATACTGATTGCTTTCCGGGCCAGGCACACTACTTCTTAAAACATTTAAAGCCTGGGCACCATAAAAATACCACCAAAGAATAACCAACCTCAGGAAGGGTCTCTCCTGCCCATGTATTAAAGTCTCTGAAGCCCACGACAAAAATCTTAGTTAAATGGCTAGTATTTATTGTGAGCTTTTAACACAGTAAGAACATCCTTTACCCTGAAAACACTCAAATGCTATGCCCTGTATCAAACAGCTCCCTGTCACAGAAAGGACAGTTTTGGTTCCTTTCTATTAGGAGAATGCAGGCCCCAACTATAAAGCTGGAGCCTGCTGGTGGCAGAGTATTCTGCCCCCCAAGGAAGAGGGAGCCATAACCTACCAGAAGCCATAGACTCTGTTCTCTAAACTTAAGTCCCAAGGATGAGAGTCCTTTGCCTTCTAGTAGTAGCACTGGAGGAATTAAAGAAAAAAGAATGATCTTTTTGAGACCGGGTCTCATTATGCAGTTCAGGCTGGCCTTGGGCTCACTTTGTAGCCCAGGCTGGTCTCAAACTTGGCAATGATCCTCCTGCCTCAGCCTCCCAAGTCTGGGATTACAGGCATGTGCCACCACACCTGGCAAGAATGGTCTTTTGTGCCTGCTGGAGCAGACGTAAAGAAGGCACTCACCTCTTGTTCTTCAGCCTTTTGCCCCTCTGAGGGCTGCTCCTCAATATCTAGTGTTGGTGGGATGCTATTGTTAATGTTGAAAGTGACGGTGATTCTAGAAAGAGAAACAACAAACAGCAAGGCATAGCTTTAATTAATAAACACATAAGTATGGAGGCTTGTTGAAACATTGTTTCCATCCCAGCTGGCTAGCTATGTATCTGAATTATCTGTATACCTTCCAAACAGTATGAATGTTGTGGCTCACACCTATAATTCCAGCACTCAGGAGGCTGAGGCAGAAGGATCACCATAAACTCAAGGGCAGTCTAAATTAGAGTGAGACCATCTCTCAAAAAACAAAACAAAACCAACAAAAACCAACCAAACAGACTGAGTACCTACATCCAATCTGAGGACTCAGTCAGTAGTTTGCAGTGAACTTGCTATGTGTCAGCTAATAGAAGTTAACAGGCCCTTCCTACGGGAATAGCCCAGTGATAGAGCACTCTCCCCAGCATGTACAGGCCTTGGGTTCCATCTCCAGCCCAGAAAATAAATTATAAGCCCTGGTTTATCTCAGATACACAGTCACACCTAAGGTACTTCTACCAGTTCAGTATCCCAGAGCCCACTGCTGTGTGTTCACTGGTTATCTTCAGGCCACAGCCAGCTGACACTGCCACCTCTGGTCTTTTCAGGGAGCCCTCTATAGTGCAGGGAAGCAACTGAGAGGCTGGAGGGATGTAAGTCCCTTTTAGAATTTTCCTCTAGCCAGGCGTGGTGGTGCATGCCTATAATCCCAGCACTCAGGAGACCCAGGCAGGAAGACTGCCATGACTTTGAGGTGAGCCAGAGCTACAGTGAGTTCAAAGCCAGCCTGAACTATGCAGTGAGATACTGATAGATGCCTAACTTTATGAATACCTAGAACCACTGAACATTTAATGAAAGGATGAATTTTAAGGTACATACATCATGAAGCTATTATATTAAAAAACCTGGAACGTGTGTGTGGTGGTGCACACCTGTAACCCTAGCACTTGGGAGGCTGAGGTAGGAGAATCGCTGTGAGTTTGAGGCCAGCCTGGGCTATGTAGTAAGCTGAAGGCCAGCCTGAATTACACAGTGAGACCCTGTCTCAGAAAAACAACAAACCCCAAACCTAGAAGATACTAATGTGATTATGGGTGACTACACAGCACAGAACCGTAGAAACAGTTCAGTGGTTTAGGGGAAAGAGGAGCAGACGTAGTTCATGAACTGCCTCTTTCCAATAGCCTTACGACACCATAACCTCAACCTGTTACTAATGAGCTTCAAATCTTGCATTTTGATCTCCTGTAAACAGTACTGCAGGGGCCCGTTTTATCAGAATTATAAACCAGAGGTCAAACTGTTAGCACCTCAAAAATTCCTGAATAAACTGGGCACTGGTGGCACACACCTATATTCACAGCACATGGGAAGCTGAGGCAGGACTATCACAATGACAAGTTTGATGACCCCGGCATGGTGGCGCACGCCTGTTATCCCAGTACTTGGGAGGCTGAGGCAGGAGGATCCTTGTGAGTTCATGACCAGCCTGGGCTACAAAGTGAGCTCAAGGCCAGCCTGAACTGCAGAGCGAGACCCTGTCTCAGAAAGACAAAAAAAAAAAAAAACCCCCCAAAACCCAGCCCAACCTGGGCTGTGAGTTCAAGACTGGCATGAACTACAGCAAGAACCTGTCTAAAAAAAAAGAAATACATGAAACTGTCCAAATTAATTTTTGTCATTTAAAAACCACATGTCCGAGTACTGGGTCTAACCCAAGGCTGTTCTGGATAGAGCCCAGGGCAGGTCCTGCGGGGTCACAGATCTGGTCCCCTGGAGACCCCAGTCCCCAGACCAGTACTTACTTTTCCCCAGCGACTTTCCGCACTAACTTAGCTTCTGTCCCGTCCACTTCCAGCTCCCAGCCCCCAGACATCTTGGGAAGGGACTTATGCTTCTGAATTTTTCTTTCTTCTTTAATTTCATCAGTAAGAAATTCAACAAAAGCTTTGTCTCCTAGAAAGCCGAGATGATTGATAACCAAAAGTCAATCAGTGTAAAACATGAAACAATTACTCAGGTTAACGGCAACTAGAAATCTGGCCTTGAACACACTTCTAATCTCTTGACACATGGCTGCTCTGGGGCTTTTGGTCCGGTCCACATTAGAAAGCCCCAGTTTCCTTCTCTGTAGAAATATGATATTAATAAAGAGCTAAATTCGATTCTGGAGGTTGTTGCAAATGAACTCACTGCTACTTTTCACTACAGGACGAGAAAATCCCCCATTGCTTCCTCCCATTTGCCACAGACATCATGCTTTTGACTACGTACCTTAAAGTTTCCCAAAAAGGCTAGGAATAACGGCGCACCCTGGCCTGCATTTGACCCCTCTCCACCCCAAAATCGAAA